AAAGTTCACTCTTGAGATAGAGTAAGAAATATAATTCGGACTGAGGAGATTTACCCGGTCTAGGTCACACTTTGTGTTCTTGTTGTGTGTTTTATATTACGGGTCGAGTGTGTCCAGGTCAAACCCGGTTAACCCACCCCGCTATATTTACACCATCAGTCACATTAACACTGTAACACCCCGGCCCCCACCCTAGCCGTAAGTGTCTGCTCATAGGATTGTAGACTGGCCCACAAACCAACACACGTCTTGATACGGGGTATTAGTAGAGTACTATCAATCCTTTTTGAGCTTTTCCCATTCCCATCTTGATACGGGGTATTACATTCACCCCCACTTAAGAATGCAACGTCCTCGTTGCATCCTTTTTTTTTGAACCCATAGATCTTCCCCGGTAGGTGAACTAAGCTCTTCTGGCCCGTCACGGTCGCAGGGTTTCCTCTGATACCATTTGTAACACCCCAGCCCCCACCCTAGCCGTAAGTGTCTGCTCATAGGATTGTAGACTGGCCCACAAACCAACACACGTCTTGATACGGGGTATTAGTAGTACTATCAATCCTTTTTTAGCTTTTCCCATTCCCATCTTGATACGGGGTATTACATTCACCCCCACTCAAGAATGCAACGTCCTCGTTGCATCCTTTTTTTTTGAACCCATAGATCTTCCCCGGTAGGTGAACTAAGCTCTTCTGGCCCGTCACGGTCGCAGGGTTCCTCTGATACCATTTGTAACACCCCAGCCCCCACACACGTCTTTCCCGCGCACTTTGTCCTCACTCGTGCGCGCCCAAGGAAAACTTCTCAGGGGTCACCCATCCTAGAATTGCTCCAGGTCAAGCACGCTTAACCTTGGAGTTTCTAGGTGATGATCTCTCGAAAAGAAGATGCACCTTGTTGGTATGAGTAGTACTATCAATCCTTTTTGAGCTTTTCCCATTCCCATCTTGATACGGGGTATTACAAACACATTGCGAAGTCCTATTTCGGAGAAAAAAAATGTTAAACTCCTATTTTAGTACTTTTCTCTATGTTTTAGTCTTGTTTAGAGTGATTTCTAATAAAATTTTGTTTAAAATCCGTTTCGAACCGTTTTAAAATGAGACAAAATCGAGACACATAAATATTTTTCTATTCCGCCCCGTTTATATGTATATATCTATAAAAAAATAAAAAATGTATATGTCTATTTATTTAATTATTTACATAATGTTATATCACAAAAAATATCATAATTTTTGTTTTCCCCAAAATAGATATAAAAATATCCATATTCAAATATTTAAAAAAATGGACTAAGAACGACACACTTAAAAATCCAAATCGTTCTAATCCAACCCACCCTAATTGTGGCTCATAATTTTTATGAAGCTTATAGTTTTGACTTTGGACGTATGTTGTAACGTTTTTTCATGTTTTCTTATTGTTTTGGCCTTTTTAAAACATTGTAAATAAATATATCATTTTTTTCATTATTTTGCAAATCAAAATGAGTTGCCTCCCCCTTATATATTTTATATTTTTATATCTAATTTCAAGTAATGACAAAGTAGGACAACCTAAACTCATTTCGTTTTATTCTGATCCTGAATATTAAAGGACAAAGAGGGATAAGCTTGTGGCCCGAATCGTTCAAAAAAAGGGGACAAAACGTGGGATGATATAAAACCCAGACCGTCCTGTTCCGTGCCCACCCCCCTACTTTGTGTCAGTCCGATTTCCGGTGGAAAAAGGTACTATTATTACTCTTGATCCAAATTGAAATTTAATTTGGAACGGAAAGAGTATTTATTTATTTATTTTTGAATGTGATTGATTTTACTACAATATGATATTTCTTTTATGTTTACAATTTAATGACACACAAAAAGTACATACTTTCATCACCTCTGCAGATCGAGTATTTATTTATAAAAAGTTAATGAGTGACTTAAAAATGTCAAAAATTATTCTAGACTCTATGTTCCTAAACATGTGAAACTTGGGTTTTTGGTCATGTTCTCCTCAACTTATTTTTTTACTAAGTAATTATTCTTATTGGAATTAGATCAGACCAGATCATGCCCGATCAGAATACAAACATCTTTACATATATCTACATTCAGATTAGATCAAAATTTATTCGAATCAGATCAGAATCATTTAGATCGGATGAAGAGCATGGCCTTAGTCACCTTAATTAGAAAGCTTATAAAAATGTATTTGGTGTCTTCATTTAGTCCTTTTGTTCCAAAAAAAAAAATTCATATTTAAATGTCACAATTTTATGAATATACTCCCTCTATCTCAAAAAATCTTTCTCTTTTCTTTTTTATTACTATCCAATCTAATTTTTTTAGTTGATCATCAAAATTTATCTAGTTTTCATGTATGAGTAGTTTTATTTATAATTATTTTATAAATTTACACCAATATTTGAATTGATTTTTGAAAAAAATTCATAATGTAATTCAAACGCGAAGATTAAATAGCGACAAAGGAAGAAATACTTTAAATAAAACTTTTACTAATATTTATAATATGGAACTAAAGAAGAATTTGTGAAGAACTAAAAACCTTTAATAATAGCAAAAAAAGGGGTGAAAAAAACTTTAATAGCAGAATGTGTATATACTAATGCGAGAACTAACAAATTTAAGCGCGAGAATTATCAAATCTTAAAATGCATATTAAGAACTAATGGGGTGCGCCAAAAGAGTTCTATTGTTTGTACACTCACCGACCTCATCAATCTATTGTTTGTACTGATCACTCTTTCTTTATTTAAAACTTTTAGGTGTTTAAGTTTTGTGGTGCTTGTGTGTGACTAAGAGGGTGTTTGGCACTTTGGGAGTCTATTTTGTACTTTGAAACCATATGATATAAGGAGAAATACAGTTAGCAAACACATAAAATTACTTTTGGGCTCCGGGATTTGTTTCCTTAATCATCATTCTCGCGTCTTAAGCTCTAGACAAAAACACAATTCTCGAACGCACAACCCTTTGTAATATGGAAATTTTCACGATCGATTTGCCTTTTTTTCTTTTATTCCCTGATCATTTCCCATATTCTTTCTATAGTTTGGTGGCTTTCTTCGTGGAGGTATGAATTTTTTTCCTTTTGTTTTTTATCGTAATATCGGTCTTTACGACCTAAGAATTTCTGCACTTTTCCATTGTATATTTTTGCAAGTGTTTGACAAATTACTCAATGAACTTCATGAACATAAAAACTTGATTAGATGATCTAATGGCACTCCATGGGTCACTTCATAACCCCTCATGACTCTCACATACTTCAAATATGGTTGGTTTGATCCTAAGTCAATCATATATAAAGAAAGAACAAGTGTTTAACAAAATTCAATTCATTT